TTCGTCGTTGGCGCTTCTCAGCTTGGTTGTTTCTAAAGCTGCCCTATAGCATTATAGTTCTTTCCTTTATCATTTTCCGCCATGTTTTCCAGTCTTCACCTATGTCTTCTCAGATGCTAACATCTACTCCAAGCTTAGATAAGCTGTTTTTGCAGGTGTCTTTGCACCTCAATTTTGGTCTTCCTCTTGGTCTCTTTCCCAGGTTAATCATAACGAAAGAAACAGCAGCATCAACGGAAAAAATAAACTGTGGCCTATCATAACGGAGAGAAAACTGTGTCAGATTCTACAGCTTTCGTCAAAACTTACAGTCAAAATGATCCAAGACTGCCACCTAGAGTTGAGGAGAAAAGTGAACTTCTTTGAGATGTTGTCTTGGAAAGTAACGTTTTAATTTCTTTTTCTTTTTCAAACGCATGAGGGAAATAGGGAGTGCTTGTCTCTAAAAGTGATTTTCTTACACAGGTGGCCATTAGACTGTCCCCCGACATTTAAAGCAAGAAAAATTCTGAAATTATTCAAACTGAGCCCAAAAATGCGAAATTATGAGATTCTGTTAATTTTAGCAAAGAATGATAAAGGGAAATAATAAGAAATTAAGCAAAAAAATGATCAAAGTTTGCAAAATTTTGCGGGGTGCATAAAACCATGGGGACAGATTAGAACAGATTTGAATATAAACAACATTTTTACTTTCATGAACAGATCAATTATCAAGTAACATCAGTTCTGCCCAACGCTGACAACACGCCTTTTTTTAATTTATACCAGTTTTGAGAAATAAATTGTTTTTGTTTTTTTCATAATATCTGCGGAGCATAGGGAATGACATTCTCTTCAGGGAGCGAGATCAAACGTTGATGTACTGTGCAAAATAGTAAAGGAATTATAAGAAAACTGAAAATCGAAGATTTCTCTTGAAATTGCTGTAAATTTTTAAAGAGGCGCTTTGTCAGTGAAGGACAGAGCATATCACTTAATAATAATAAATAGCATTTATACTGCGCATTTCCATTTCCTAAAAGATGCTCAATGCGCATTACAATGAAAAAGACATCACATCTTAAAAATTAATCGACACAAATGTGTACGTAAAACAAAGTATTATACATATAATATAAATGCATATGTGTAAAATTTTATACCAGAAAAACAGTCTCGCAGTGAGGTTGAAAATGTGTTCACTAAAAATATACAATGCAATATAAATTCACGAACAGTCAAAATACAGTTGAAACGTGAGTAACTAGAAACATTCATTAAAACATTAATTCTATACAGAGAGAAAAACATTTCCGTTCTATCTCTCTCTCTCTCTCTCTGTCTATCTCTCTCTCTCTCTCTCTCTCTCTCTCTCTCTCTCTCTCCCTCTCCCTCTCTCTCTCTCCCTCTCCCTCTATCTCTCTCTCTCTTTCTCTCTCCCTCTCTCGCTATCTCTCTCTTTTCTCTCTCTTTTCTCTCTCTATATCTCTCTTTTTCTCTCTCTCATTCTCACTCGCTATTTCTCCAGTTTCACAGTCTGACATACACATGCATATATATCACAGTACATCATTATGACAGGTATGCTTTTGTGAATAAAAAATGCTTCAGCTGATTTTTTTTAATGGAAATTGTTGGGGCAGATCTTATTTTATATGCCTATCCATATGCCCTGGGGTCATTTTGTAGCCCCGCGGTTCTATTCTTCACATTTTAGAATACTTCTAGTACGAAGATCTCTTTGAAACTGTCAGTATTTCCCAAAAAATCATTCTGACAGACTGCTATGCAAAGCATGCGGATCGGATTAGCGAGTAAATTTCCTCTTTGAAAGTGGTGGCACAGAGTTCCCCACGTCATATGGATACGAAAGTAAAACATGGCGTACGGATAGGGTTAAGGGGGCTGATTCCCCGTAATTGTGAGATGAAACGTAAAGTTCTTAGTATCAAAACTGCCATAGAAACATACTGTGTCCTTGGTAACGAGCCAAAATAGAACAAATGTTCATGAATGCCTGCTCAGCAAACAAAAATCCTCTCTCTATTTTTCTAATCAATTTTTTGTTTTTCCAAGATGTTTTTTTTTCTTTTCGGGATAGCCCCCTTGTGCTTTAAAGCTACCACATCACTCAGGAGCTTAAGCAGAAGGGGCACAGTAGCCCCAGGAGGTCAGAGCTCAAAGGGTTAAAAGAAAGAATTATGAGACTTACAAATATTGTAACAACAGGCAGGTCTGATGGAAAGAGAGGCAGAGGCAGACAGAGGGAAAAGATACTGGACAAGATGACAACACGGCTGGGAACAGCAAGAACAAACGACACCATTGTTGCAACGCAAGACAGATTCAAGTGGCGTTCCATGATCGCCCACGCCAGTCGGCAAGAAACTGGATGATGATGATGATGGATGACGATGATGATGATGATAATGATGATGATGATGAAGATGATGATGATGATGATGATTTAAAAAAAAAAAAATTGGGGGGTATTATTTTGTATTAATGTAGCATTGTTTTTTTGTATCGTGTTCCTGATGAAGCCCTTTACTGGGCGAAACGTTGAACCTGTATTAAATTTGAAAAATCTACTAAGTCTCAACCCCTTTTTTTCAATTCCCTGCTACCAAAAATGATGATGATGATGATGATGGCAATGATGACGATGATGACGATGATGAAGATGAAGATGATGCTGATTGGACTTACAGTTCTCTCCCCAGGCCAGACATCTTGTATCCACCGAACGGACTCTGGGCACTGACATGGTTGTAGCTGTTGATCCTGAAACACGAGGAAAAGAGACATGTGCAAATTAAGCCTATATGTCTCCTTAAGTTCGATGCGATGTTTAGTCGCGCACGACAGTCGCTTGCGCTGAGTCGCGAAGTGTGTATCATTATGCGCGCCCCAATCGCGCTAGAATTTTCAGTTGCGTGGGACAAGTGTCTCCTTATGCGCAACGTGATGTTAAGCCGCGCACGACTGGTTAAGCCCGTGCGCGACTGACAATTTACAATAGAGAGACTGTTGCTTAACGTTATTTTTAGCACATAGCTTAGAGCCTAGCCTTCACCCACACACACAAACAAACACACACACACACACACACACACACACACACACACACACACACATACAGCGTGCCGACCATCACTCCTTGGCAAAGTATTTCGACTAATGGCGACGCTCTAAACCTGCCTCACCCCCAGTCTGTTGCACACTACGAGACCCTTGACAGCTACATGGTCCGATCTCAGGCAACAATCCTGCGCGACTAAACGTCGCGTCCATATAATCTTACTTGACTGATATTAGAGCAGCAAGGACTAGACGCGACACGTATATGGAGACAAGCTCTGAGACGGTATAAGGCAGGGGCTTGCCAACCTGGGAGATACCAACCCCCCCACTAGTGGCCTATTTGGTTATACAGTAAAACAGGGTTATAACAGGACTTTTGGTTCCAGAAGAAAAATCTCGCTGAAGGCAAGTTCCAGCTATAGGAATGCAAAAGGGGAATTACCGTAAACAAAATTTTTAATCCACATGATTACCTCCCTTCCACATCAATAAATTTTGGGTTTGGATAGATTAGTCTTCCCTTTCTTGTCAATTTCGTTGATTATCTCAGCCTTTACTTTGAGTGAGAAGCATTTCCTTTTGTATTTGTCGGAAACCATCCTTCCCCCGGTCTTTTTGCTTGTTGCGTCTATCGTACCGGTAGGTCTACTGTAGAACTGGTGAAGTGGATGCGTGCGTAAATGTCTGAGCATCAATGATAGCAATTCAATGAATCAGGAATCACACACAACATGCTCCCCTCATTTTTCTTTTACTTTTTGGCCTAGCCTAAGCCTACGGCAGAGCCTACGAGTGCCTACGGCAAAGCCTACGGCAGAGCCTACGGGTGCCTATGGCAGAGCCTACGGGTGCCAACGGCAGAGCCTACGGGTGCCTGTGGCAAAGCCTACGGCACAACACTTTTGGAGTGGCTCACGTAACCATCTCTCCCTCCGCACCATCTCTCTCTGCCGCCTGCCCCACCTCACTTATCACTGGACTGGCCAATCACAAAGGCGCACCGCGGATTGCCTGTTTGAAACTCACCTACAGCCCCCCCACCCTCCAAGATCCTCCTCCCCCCCTCCTGCTAGAGCTCTCTCAATCTCTCCCGTTGTATCCAAGTTTGGGTCTTTCCTAGCCCTGTTAAATCCAAGCACAGTTACTACAGTTTATATAGACATGTTTTTTTAGTCTTAGTAGAAGTTTACTGTGATCGCAACTGCATCAAGTCATATGAGCGCCACGGGGAGGATGTCAACAGAGAAGTCCATACAGGGAACCACTCTTACTCTGCTCACCTCTCTAGCTTCAACAGCACAAAATCTGCTTCGACTATCAAGGCATCCCGGAAACAGCGGGTCACAAACAAGAGTGTGACAAACATACGGATTAGGAAAGAAAAAGCAGCAGTTCCCCGTTGCAGTTCAGGCACAGTTATGAGCATGACATTGATGAACCAACCCATTTACAATTCCTATATGTGCATAAGAACATGTAAATGTCCCCCTCTTTGGGAATGGCCTAAAGACAACTTCAGTCAGTAGCAGCGCCCTGGGGGGGGGGGGGGGGGGGGC